AAGACTCCAATTGGAAGCCAGTGTAATAATGAAAATTGATAAAAAATAATAACAATTGTAAAAAATTAACAGAAAACTTTAAAAAATGCAAAATACGCCCCAAAATTTCAAGAAATATGCCCTATAAATCTAAAAAAATGCTCTAAATGACAAAAACAGTCCTAAAATGCAAATTTAAATATCATTTAAAATATCTAATTAATAAAGTGGTAAATATAAAACCATATAAACGTATTATCTTTAATTAGAATTTTCAATATACTCTAATCTATAGCCTTGCAACAATTTTACCTTGGCTCCAGTTGGGCTCAATATAGGTCGTATAAGAACCGAACTGTAATGCACCAACATTAAGATGCCTAGATTTTTTAATATTGGTTCCAGAATGGCTTTTTTAATAGTGGGGAATAACAATTCCAAATAGGGCCGATATTGGTTGAAAAGTGCAATATAATATTGGACAGTAAAACAGCAGGTCGTGAGAAAGACAATTCTATACAGGGTCGATATTGACTGAATAGTGGATATGAAATATTAGGTTAATCTAACAATTCTACATTAGAAATATCGGTCCTTTTTTTCTTAAGTCAAGAGAAATGAATATTAGTCTAATGAGGGTCCAAGTTAATTTGCTGCTAAGGTAATGTAGATATTTTTCTAAATAATAATACGTATATCTAAATTTCTTTCCTAAGCAGGGCTGAAAGTTTATATAAATCAAGACGGAAAAGAGAAGAAACTGGTAAGAAAACTAGTTCATTCCAGCTTATCTTCCAAAAAAGTAAAATATACTCATTATTATCGAAATTTTTTAAACAGTTATACGCCTTTCATATATAGATATATGATTATTATGCGATGGTTGTATGATATATATACGACTTAAAGTGAAAAAGTAAATATAGGCTGTTACTTAGATTTAAGAATAGTAAAAAGTTATTTAACTCGTCCCGAAAACTACTTATAATTGAAGTCAACTACTTAATTTGACTTTGATTTGTTACTACTACGTCCCGAAAACTACTTATAATTCCTGCCAGTTTTATCTCTTTTTCCGTCTCACTTTCAGGGTTGATTACGAACTAGCTTTTTTTTTAAATTTGTTAACTGAAAAAAATCAGGTTGTCATATAACCTGCCAACTTTCCACGCTTTTTTCAAAAAATGTATTCTAGTGTTAGTTAAGTTTATGTTTCAGGTATGTTGTTTTATAAATTTTATTTAACGTTATTTTCCACACTTGTAAATGATTCAAAAGTTTAAATGAAAATCCACTTTGTTCCAGCTCTGTCGTGGTTCTTCGCAGATTTTCAATACACATTCGAATTCTCCAAAAAAAAGTAACCTTATTTGATCATAGGTTTATACACTTTGGTTCACAGATTTGCGTTTAGTACCTACATCCACTGCAATCTGCGAAATTTAAAAACTTGTCCAAATAAATTGGCGTCGTGTAATTAAGTAAGATTGACATAAGATCTTCTTCCCAGAACACACATTTTTCGAAAATATCACATAGAAGTTTCTTCTACGAAGTTTTTTGTCTGCGACAGATTTAATTGTACTTTACTTTTGTTTTTATTGAATCTAGTTTCCACCAGTTAAGTCTTGCGGATTTAAAATGCTACATTTAAATTTTCTAAACTCTCTCTCTTAAAAATTTTTTTTGTAGTGAAAGTGAAATATCGATGAAATTGACGAATGTAACAAAAATTGAGTGTAGTTGTTTTAAAACTTTTTTACATAAATTGTTTAGAAACTTTGTCAAATATTAAAGGCAAAAGATTTGCTACTATATTCAACAAAAAGAAATTCGCTCTTGAAATTCAGTAGAGTGTTACTTGCAGGCAAAAAAAGCCTTCGCTGCTACATTTACTCGGGTTGGATTCATCTGTGCACTGTGGGTCTCAGTTCAGTATAGCTGCCAAGTTAATCGAATTTCATTAGAACACTTTTATTACATATTTGAAATGTTCCTTAGAAAGCAATAAAAGTTATCTTTTTACTTTCTTTGACAATTTATTTAGCCCTTAACACATAAACCATTTGTCAAATCTTTATACCTATATCTGTTAAAATTATTTTAATGCAGTGTCGGACGAAATCTGTGAGTCAATTTTAAACGCAAACATAGGCCTTAAAAGATTTAATAGTGATAGTAAATATGTTAAAGCTAATAGAAATTTCATTTGAAGGCACCATCTGTGGATCAATTTTAAACGCAAACATAGGCCTTAAATTATTTAATAGTGGTAGTAAATATGTTAAAGCTAATAGGAATTTCTTTTGAAGGCACCACTTTAACATTTAGAGGTCTAGTAGGACAGAGTTCTTCTACAAACGTAATAAATTATCGAGATTAGTCTCATTTTGTTACAGCTTATTAAAACTTTTAAGGTTCTTGGAAACATTGTTTAAATATTTAATTAATAGGTTATTAGGGATTAGTTAAAAACTCTGTTTCCCTGATATTTTTCTACCAATTTTTAAATTTTTTCAGATTGTGGCCACCCTGAACCTTTGCGTTTCCTATATTTCTTTGCAGTGGTGTATTTAAGCATAGTATCAAATTTTAATTCGAAATTTTTTAGATCTGAGAAACTGTTAATAAGAGAAAAAAACTGCATACCTAGCGTTCAGTGGACGGTATGTTAACTCAAATCTTGCGACTGAGAAATTTGTGGGATTTAAATGCCATCGAACACGAACAGCTGGGGGTCTCCAAGAGATCAGGACGACAGAAACATTCCAGGATACTTTGCATCCATCGTTAACACCCCCTATGGGAAACGTATATAATTACCATATTTTATGATAGAGTGCAGCTGCAATTACAGAGAACAAATTGACAAAAATCAAATTAGGAAATATAACAAGGGAGAAAACAAGTACAATACCCATATTTCATTATAGAATTCCGTTGTTCTCACGATCAATTGAAAGATAAAAAACAATAGATTAGGAAATACAGCAATAAGGAAAAACATATACAAGGGTTGATCAAATGAAAAGGTACGAAACGACATAGAAACGTAACAGTTAAATATTTGCATATTCCGCCATGGGAAAACGTAGCGAGACATCTCGGGATGCGATTGGAGTCTCTGACTGAGATCGGAGCATGCGCGGGCGCCCGCATGCGCAGGAGAGAGCAGAGGCTCTTATCAAAAGAAGCGTCCAAATAATGCGGCAGTCCGCTGCTCACGGAGGATGTGGTTCTGCTCCATGATAACGCGCGTCCACACGTCTCCAGAGTCACACGCATGGAACTGGCCAAGTTCAAGTGGGAGACGTTAGACCATCCGCCCTACAGTCCGGACATGTCGCCCTGCGATTTCCATGTGTTTGATCCACTGAAGAAACACCTGAAAGGGAAGCGCTTCAACTCGGACGACGTACTCAAGTACGCTGTGAAGGACTGGGTCTCGTCACGGCCACAGGAATTCTGGGACAAAGGAATCCTGCGGCTTGTTCATCAGTGGGATCGTTGTGCTCAGGCCTATGGTGTATATTTTGAATAAAGTCTGCATTTGTATCCACCGTGTCGTTTCGTACCTTTTCATTTGATCACCCCTTGTACAATACCCACATTTTATTATTGATTTTCGTCGCTTTTCCAAACGCACAAAATACAATAAATTAAACAAGACAACAAATAAAACAAATTCAATATTCGCATTTCTTTAATTTTTACCAAAAATGTAAAAAATGCTTACTACGAATTAGTTTTACCATGCAGCAATAGAATTCACATTTTCGAAATCAAGAATCATAAACACACCTAATTATATTTCTTTCATCTGTATAGTGGTCTAAAGCAGGTCAGAGCCCTCCTAAATCGTGTTCATTTGGCTCGATCAGACGCTAGGTTTCTCGATCTATTGATGTTCATGGTTTTTACGATCTTTTTCCACAGAATCAATTTGGTTTTTTAATCCATCTGGTGCTTGGTCTTTCTCTTTTTCGGTTGCCAGTAAACATTCCAAAAGTCAGCTTTTTAACTGGGTCAGCAAGATTTCTATAGATGTGACCCAGTCATCTTAATATATAGGATTTAATAACACAGATTATGTTTGGTTGATGTATAATTAAATCATAACTGTACTGTATGTACCAAACAAATTATGAAATATATTTGTTTTTTAGCAGCTCCGAAGGCGACTCTGAATATTTTTCTTTTAAAAATTAGTAGTTCATTCTCATCAGTTTCATTTAAATTCCATCATTCGCTGGCATGGTGTAATAATACAGGTTTAATCAGAGTTTTATATAAATTAATTTTAATTTTAATGATAATAAGCTTCGATTTCAGTTGGTTTCTCAATCCAAAATAACACCTATTAGCCACCGTTATCCTGTTATCAGTTTACGTCTTGATCTCATTATTAACTATAACAATTGTCTCGAGGCACTTAAACTTACTAACACAGACAAATATATAATCATTAGTCACGAGAGATAAGACCTCACAAATTCGAATACTGACTGCCATAAATTAGTTTTTTTTCCTGATTAATAGTTAAACCCAATGTTTAAGCAGGTGCCTCAAGCATTGCAAAAGCCTCTGAAGCAGCCTGGTACAATTGCCCTATTAAATCAATGTCATTTGCATGAACCAATATTTGAACAAACTTTCGAATAATTCTATACCTTAGTATTTATAATGAGATAACTAATTGTTTTTTCCGGTGCAATATTAAATAGCATGCGAGAGAGTGTGTCCTCGTCTTGAAACTCTCTGCGTGTAAAATAGATTTGATAGTTGTGACATAAATTTCACTCTGAATTTGACATCTTTTAGAGCAATTTTTTTAATTTTTTGTACAATGCATTTGACATCTCTAATAATACATCACTAGAAATAACAAGAAAAGATACGACTAAATACCGCTATGAAAAAAAATTTTGCTTATAAAGCGGAGCAAAATTTCCTTACATTAACTATCAATGGTAAGCTGATAGAAATATGTTAGAAAAAACTGCTAATTTCAATCTATTTTAATAGATATTTGCTTTTTTCTAGGCACTACTTTTTACGATTTCGGGTGCGCGTACTCTCCTTGTGATTTATTTTATTTATACAAAGATAATAATGGGTTTTGTTGGCTTTCGTGTTAAGATATATATAAATGCGATTAGTTATAAATTCCTTTATTATATTATACTATGGTAGACAAAATTATCTTGTTTCTGCAAAAATAATCTTAAGAAGAAAAAAAAACTTAAGCAGATACTTCTTGTACATTTTGAGAAAAAAAAGGTATCGTTTATTTAATAATGGAGTAGACATAAATAAATAAACCAAATGTAAATTAACTACACAGAAAATAAAAATTTAGTACAATTTTCATAATCTTAATTATTTTTGAGGCACGAGACGACTGGAAAACGAAATACAGAGAACAAATAATCTTCTTATTCTTATTGCTAGCATATGGTTGTTGTTAGTTACCAAATCATTAGCCCATTTTCGATCGCTCCCTGTTTACTTACCAAACACATTATATTGAACCAATATTGATTTACCCTAAGTTATTGCTTCATTCGGGAAACATTTAAACAGAATGGGCAAACAGATATGAGTTGCCTTTTCTTAAACCTGGTTGCTTAATATTTATCTAATTATAAATATAAATCAAGGAAACAAACATAGCTCTTATATATTTTAAATATTTAATAGTGATTGATACTATTAAATTGATTTATGGAATTTAATTACTTGTTCAAATTGTTTAATAGTAATTAATAGCATTTAAATAATCATATCAAAGGGATTATTTTATTTAAGAGAAAAATTCAACATCCCTTGAAGTACATTAACCCCTTGGGGACGGGTGATTCAGAAAAGCATTCGTACAAAATCAGAATCAAGTTGTAATTAAATAAAAAGCGGTAACTTAAATGTAGTCGTTGCTAATTTGACAGACTTACTTTGCTTTTTCTTTAATTATTGTTAGTTTAATCATATATATAATCAATGTTAGTTCAAAGTATAACTAAATAGTTTTATTTTGAACAAAGTAATGGTGAATTAAATAAATCAAACAATTATAACTCCGCCCACAAATAAACTGCTAAAGAATTAATTTGATTACCAGTTTTATCTTTTTATCCTGATTGATACAGTTTCATGCTGTCACGTATTTGTGACAGTCGGCGCGAAAGGGTTAAGAGTTGCAGATAAATTTTAATCAAAGTTAACTATCATATCTAAATACAAGTTATAAACGCTTGTTTCAGACTTCGAAAATAATTACTAAGTCTTAATTTGTGTTATAAATGCAATTGCTACTCGTTTTATTCCCTTTCTACTTTCAAATTTCTTTAAAATAGCAAATACCCTGAGATATGGGCATAGCCTTTTAAATCTTTTGCTTAGTATTTAATATTATTGCACGATTTAATTTTTTTTTATTACCGATTACACTTACAAAGCGGATACACGATTTATTATCGTACTGGCCTCTCATCTGCATGTTTTCTACTATTTTTGACAAAAAATTAATTTCATAAAAGTCACAAACGTTTTTGTTTCGAATATAAATGTTTCTGATGACTACTTAATAATGGTGAGAATGCGAATATCTCTGGTTTTTCAAATAAATGCTTAAAAGGAAATAATTTTTGCTACTATCTTACTTTTGTTCTAGTCATGAAATTGGTACTTCGAAGTACCGTCAATACGTAAAATGTTTAACATAACAGTCCGGAAATGAAAATTTTTTTATGAAAAAATTATTCAATTGTGATTTTTATACATTGATTTTCAGCTCTTCTTTCAAAAGACAAAAACTGGTAGCACAAATATATCACTTTTAAATTTTTCTCGAAATAAATTATGTCTATCTATCGTGAAATATTAGTAACAAAAATCTTCTAATACTGATTTGTAATAATGGAATTGTGATTTTCTTAACAGCTCCCCAATCATAATCTTAAATAAAACTAGTAAAAAACCAGTTTGGGAATGTAATATTTAAACAACACAATCTCGAAATTTGTTTTTAAATAAATTTATAAAAAAAACCTAGAGAACTGTAAATTGAAATAAAAAAAAGTAAATTAAAGTAGACCAATTTATTACAAATGCTCAGAAGATTGGCTATGAGTTATTAGTTCTCTTGCCCGCGAACTTTGAATTTTACAGCTTAAAAACACCCAAGTTCAGAGCACGTGTCAAGTTATGATTAAATAAATCAGATAGCCAGAAATAGATAAAAAGAAACATGAATGCAACAGAGGACTTCGCCCTACATGCATTCATATGGAATCTTTTCTGCGAGTAACTGTATTTGTATTCCGATGCCTCATATGAAAAAAAACATAGAAGATAATAAAATCAGATTTAATAAATGTAATACAATGCAAGACAATTTCTCAATCAAAAAGGAACAGAGTGCGAGATAAAACAATCAATAAAAACTCACCAAAAATCAAAATACTATTCCAAGGCCTGCTTTAGATTAGACGGACATATCGAATTAGCAGTCATGTAAATACCGTTGCCAGCAGAGAAAGGAATTTTAGAGAAATTAAAACAGAAAGATTATAAAATATAAATTACTATAGAACCGACTAAAATCTTATCCCCCAGTGTTTCTATTTGCACAACAGACTTCAGGTAATACAAATAAGAAAACTTCATCATAAATAAATCAAGCAATTAGGTCTGCTTACTTGGTCTTAAACATCGACCGAATTGGAACATTCGGCTAAAACATGATTGATCAATAGTAATTAAATGTAAAATAATCATTTAAGTTTAGTTTAACACGGTAAATAACTACTAACTAAATTTGCAAATATAGACAGATTATGCTAGTTTATAATAGTTTTAACATGACATTACTAAAACAGTGGTGAATTATCTATACCTACGAATTTTTTAAAAATAGTGGGGAATAAAAATCTACTAAATTAAATTTATTAAACCAAGAATCACAATAATTAAGTAAATTTTGAATAAATTTTCTGCAATTCCATAAAAGAGTGTAAATTTTATAGTTCTATATCATGTTATATGCTGTCAGCCAGCTGTTTTTCGCGGCCTATGTAAAAGGCGAGTGTCAGCAAGCGTGGTTGACGCAGCCTAAATGTAACTTCAGTGTCAGCCACCGGTGGTTGAGGCAGCCTAAATGTAATTTCAGTGTTAGCCACCAATGGCTGAAGCGGAGCTCAACGTGTTTAACTTATATTTGCTTCAATTATTTTAGAATTTTTTATTGTTTAACAGAGTTAATTTAAGCAAAAAGAACATTTTATGACAAGACGTCTTTATTTAGGACAACTTCTCTCCCATCTATGACAAAACGAAATAAAAAAATTTTAAAATCCCGTTCTCTTTTTTATTTAATTTATTTTCTTAAAAAAAATATTAAATGTTGTATTACCATCTCAGATAATGATCTATTCTAATTTTGTTTTACATTAAAAAAAATACATTTTCGTAAGCTGAGAGAAATGTTGGGGAACGAAATTGCCGTTTTCACCGCAAAGAGACGCAGATGCAACCATGGCTGCTTTTATTTTCAATTCTTTTTTATTGTACCTTTGATAATATATTTGCAAGAATAGATACTGACCTTCTGTAGCAGCTGTTAGAAGGTGAAGCATGGCCCATTGAAAGATAAGGAATACGCTCAACAGATGTTTTTGAAATAAGAAGATTCTAAAAGATGTTCTTCTCCCTCTTATGGCGAGGATCATCTTGCTTCTTTGCCATCCATTGTATACATTGGCAGTATTATTCCTAAGATATCGAATAACCTACAATAAGAAAACATATCTTTATTAGGTTCTCTTTAATTGCTCGTTCCACTTTATACAGTATAACGTAAAGTTGGTATTCAATACAGAGTTTATTATTAGACCCACTATAAGATTCTATTTATCAGGTGATACTATGCAGCTTTATTGTTTTAACGGGACTGAAACCGGTTTGCACTTGTTTACGTTCGTGTATCAATAGGCTAAATGAAACGATATATAATATAAATTCGACGATATATCGTATGAAAATAGAATATTTATTATATCAGGTATTACGTTAGTATATTATAATAATTAGACGCACTGTAATTTCTTCATAATTTTTTGTTTTGCACGAGTTTATATGCAATACTTTTATGTTAAACATACATGTAATGGGTTTTTATACAGGAGATTTTTTATATACTTCCTATTTGAATTTATTTTTAACGCATTGCATTGCAATGTTAACCAATATATACTCAAACTTAAACAAGTGCAAGCCGGTACTTAAACAATAACAAGTACTTAAACAATAATGCTGCATAGGATCACCCGATAATTAGGATTTTACATAGAATCTTATAGTGCGTCTAATATATGGCCAGGGAGTGTGCATTAGCAGTACTATGTCCTAGTAGTATATTAAACACTCTAGAACTGAAAAAAAAAATGGATAAGTTTTAAATCATTTTAAGTCCTATTAAATATTTCACTTGCAAGGAAAAGTTATATTTAATTGAAATGAAATGTTTTCAAATTGTTAAACATTATTTCAACAAATTTAGAAGATATTCGAACTCTGTTAGCATTAAATATAACTTCTGTATTTGCAAATTTAAAAGGTATTCGAATTTTGTAAAGTAGACAATGCGATCTCTATCATGAAAATAACATATCTAAGTTACACTATCTACTACTCTTTCCAGGGTTCAATTTATAGTAAACATTCGACAACGTCATATACAAAACTGTTTTGATAAAGGACAAGTAGTGTTTTCTTGTTGATTTTGTTTCCTCGCCGTACCAAAACCATAACACCAATAGAGTCGCCTAAAGAAAAGCAGTTGGAACTTATTGAGATAATTTTAGTTTTCCAAAACGAGTCACCTTGCTGAAATATGTGGTAGATAAGAATTTCTCATAACTTTCTTCAATGAGATAATTAAATTTATCACCTGTAACTTAATTAGACCACTGATGGTTACTGTAGGGATAGTTATGCTGAGTTCTCTCCTAATTTCGTTAACTGATTGCAATGAATCAGATGCTTCTCTGAGAATTTAATAATATATCTCCCTATTGGAATGCGCTAGTAGTTGCCCCTGACAACCTAATTACCTCCTGTTTTCCATATTACTTTGGAAGGAGTTCTTAGCACCATTTTTAGATTTTTTAATTTAACTTTAGTTTATGTTTTTATGCAACTATTAACACTCAAACTTTTACACTTCTTGCGGAACATATCTTCACTGTAAAAGTAATTAATTTTTTTAAATGTATTACTGCTATAGGCGGTTTTTCTATAGATGTTTTTTATTTTATTTTATAACCATCATTGAACAACCGAAATTAGTTTATGTGTCTTTCAAAATGTAGATAAACGTTTAAGTTTTAGCGAAAAAAATGCAATATCTGTTCAAAATAATGATTGTTAAGTTTCTAGGTTAATTTATGAATACTATCTACATTAGCTACTTTCTTCCCTACATAATTTTAAAATGTTGTCTGTTGAAGATTTATTGTTGATGCAGTTATTCTACAAACAAGTTAAATAATTAGTAAAATATTTTGTTTCGTAATTTTTCGGTAATTTTAGTTCGTCACAGAATGTTAGCCGGATGTAGTAATTTTCAAAATTATTTTTAGATATATGTGTTCTACTATAGATATTAAAGAAATTAGGCCGGGATGGTCTGATTGGCAGAGAGTTGGACTCACGTTCTTGGGAACTGGAGTTCTAATCCAGACCACCGAAGACTCCCCATGTAGTAAATGGTGACTAGTGCATGTTAAATCTGTCGGGTCACGTCTTCCATGTTCCCATAACAAGTTATACCTTTGGAGGTACTGAATAGGAGATTGATCGTTCTTTGTTTCAGCTTAAAACTACGATTTCTGAATGGATGCATAAATGGGTCCGTCCTACAAATGGATATGACGTATGGCTGTGGCAGAAGTCGAATTCTCCGCCATAGATGGCGCCACTGGAAAAACAAGAACAATCTCACCCCCTCTGTTTTAATGGCCGACAACAACAACTATACACATAAGAAAAATATTTTTTTTTAAATAGTTGGCATGAAACTACAAATTGGTCTGCGTTCTGAAAAACTAATAAAATGTGTTTTAAGTCTAGCACGATGAAAGTGGAATTAAAAATACATAATTAAAATCGTCAATTAAAAAAGTAAGTAGATTTTTGTTAAAGAATTTTAGGATAATGGATTAATTGGCATCCATTTTTTAAATCCAATGTTAATTTAATTCGAGTTATTATAATTTCCGAATTGTGATCTGTTATTCATTTTATTTTACTTGCATAATTGTTCGATAAGTTTGGGTCTTAGCCAATCACAGACTGTGAGCCGGATATAGTAATTTCCATTTTTAACTATTTTTAGATATATGTATTCTACAATGCTATTGTAGAGTACAATACTAATGTAGAATACAATAGTATTTTTAGATATATGTATTCTACAATGCTATTGTAGAGTAGAATACTAATGTAGAATACAATAGTATTTTTAGATATATGTATTCTTCAATGCTATTGTAGAGTAGAATACTAATGTAGAATACAATAGTATTTTTAGATATATGTATTCTTCAATATATGTATTCTACAATACTATTGTAGAGTACAATACTATTGCAGAATACAGTAGTATTTTTAGATATATGTATTCTACAATATTATTGTACAATACTATTGTAGAGTACAATACTATTGTAAAGTACAATACTATTGCAGAATACAATAGTATTTTTAGATATATGTATTCTACAATGCTATTGTAGAGTAGAATACTAATGTAGAATACAATAGTATTTTTAGATATATGTATTCTTCAATATATGTATTCTACAATACTATTGTAGAGTACAATACTATTGCAGAATACAGTAGTATTTTTAGATATATGTATTCTACAATATTATTGTACAATACTATTGTAGAGTACAATACTATTGTAAAGTACAATACTATTGCAGAATACAATAGTATTTTTAGATATATGTTTTCTAAAATATTATTCTACAATACTATTGTAGAGTACAATACTATTGTAGAATACACTAGTATTTTTAGATATATGTATTCTACAATAGTATGTATTCTACAATTCTAGATATAAAGAAAATAAATTTAAATATTGCAAGCATCAAATTGTAAATTGTCCTCGTTCTGAAAAACTGATAAGTTTTTTCTTAGGTCTATCATGATGAAAATGGAAAAAAAAATACATACTGTTGTTGTTGAAAAACAAAAGTAAAAAAGGTTTNTCAGAGTTTTTTTTTTTTTTTTTTTTTTTTTTTTTTTAAAGAAATTTATTATTATTATTTTTTTAAGAATGTGAAGACAATGGATCATATAGTGCACAGTTTTAAAATCTAATGTTAATTTAATTCGAGTTATTGCAGTTTCCGAATTGTGATCCGTTGTTTATTTATTTGTCAGTTACTTTGAATTTTCAATTTCGCTATCTGGTTCTGCAACTTTTACAACTTGCCATTCTGTGGTTTATAATTGAAAAATATCTGCTGACTCTACAACTACGTGAGAAAATGCACTTCTAACAACACCCATCTTTTGCCATTAATTAGGTTTTCAAAACCTCGCATTCCCAATTAAAAGCAAAGACGATAGCTAATCCTGTGGTTTTAGTTTCAGAAAATCATCGCCTTCAATTTAATTCAGTCCAAACAACTTAGAAATGCCTTCAAAGATGAGCGGAAGAAAGAGTCTTTTGCGAGCGGAATTTTAATTCCTACTTGTCAAATATTTAACAATCGGTATAGAGACGAGAAAAGCTCATTATTATCTTAGATAGCTTTTATTGGATGGGGGAAAAAAAGAAAGCAATGGGGAAAAGTGAAAAGGGACTTTCTATTTCAGTGATTAGTAATGGGGAATCAATAATGATGGATGGACAAAAGGAAGAACCAATAGTTCGACTTTTTTAGGATTTTAAATTAGCCCATTGATTTATTCATATTTTTCTCGAAGTTCCACTAGTCTTAGTTGCAAATTTATCGGGTTACATTAGCAACTGCGACCTCTCTCTGTGTAATCTCATCAAAGAGGCATACTTTGTGTATTTGTTATTTAAAGAATAGTAGAGTCTCGATGATTCAAGGTAAAGGGGGACAAGCTCATCTCGAACTTACGAAAACTAGAATTATCGAAAACTTAAATTAAAGAAATGTTTAAAGAGCTAAAAAAAATTTCAAAATGAGCAACCAATATTTTGAAAATCAGCAGCATTAGGTATTATTAAAATCAAAAGTATAACGGAAAATAAATTGTGATTGCTATTACGATCACCAGTCATGGTCAAACGCTTTTTTCTCTCTGGTTTGACTCCGATAAACGCCACAACGTTTCAAATCATGGCTTGCAAAAACTGTCTCAATTGATGTTTGTCGTCGGATTGGTTTTCAAATCCTGCCTCTGTACGTGTTTCAAGACGTCACAAAATACTTTTCCTTCTTCAATATTCATATTTATATTAAAATCACAGTCAAGACAGTAATTATAAGTTAATAGTAAAAAGAATATAAAAATACTTTAAATTATTATTATGTAAATACATTAAGAATGGCTGCTGGTAAAAAATTTAANTCGAACTTACGAAAACTAGAATTATCGAAAACTAACAATTAATGAAATATTTAAAGTACTAAAAAAATTGTCAAAATTATTTTCAAAATGAGCAACCAAAATTTTCGTAATCAACAACATTAGGTAACGTTAAAATCAAAAGTACAGTCTCAATTGATGCTTGTCG